TCCAGAGGCCCCTTAAACTCTCCTCATTTTTTTGGATTCTCTTTTTTTTTTTTTTTGCTGTTCTGATTGGGTGTTGTCTTGTTACTTTGTCTTCTAAATCGCTGATTTGAACCTCTACTTTGGCTAATCTACAGTTGATTCCTTCTAATGTATTCGTCATTTTAACCATTGTGTTATTTATTTATGATTGGTTCTTTTTTATGTTTTCTATCTCCATTTTTATGTTTCCTATCTCTTTGTTGAAGTTCTCCCTGAGATCATTGAGCATCCTTATAACTAGTGTTTGGAACTCTGCGTCTGGTAGATTGCTTGTCTCTATTTTGTTTAGTTCTTTTTTCTGGAGCTTTTTTCTATTCTTTCATCTGGGACATGTTTCTTTGTCTTCTTATTTTTGCTGCCTTCTTGTGTTTGTTTCTATCTGTTAGGTAGAGCTATCCCTCCCTGTCTTAGTAGAGTGGCCTTATGTAATAGGTGTCCTATGGGGCTCAGTGGTGCAGTCTCCCTGTTCACCTGAGCCGGGTGCTGCCATGTGTTCCTTGTATGGGTTGTATGTGCCCTCCTATTGTAGGTGATCCTTGGTTGCTGTTTGCATGTCAATGGAAGGGATTGACCCTCAGGCTGATCAGTTGGGAGGACTGGCCACGACTAGAGTGGAGGTGATCGTGTGCAGGGGTTGACTCTAAGGAGCAGGATTTGCTTTAATAGCACTGCGGTGCCTGCCCAGTCTGTCCTTTGGGTATGTCATCTCTGGAGGTAGCGGTGTGGTGCTTTGGTCAAACCAAAGCCTACCACTGGGAGTGGCTCTGTTGAAGGCCAAGTTCAGCCTCTGCCTGTGTCCTGCTCAGGACTGCCTGGTATGAGTCACAAGGCAATCTGGAGATGGCAGCCTTCTGTGCTGTGCTTGGAGGAGCCTTGAGAGGCGAAGCCACGAACTGAGGCTGGCTGCCACTAGTGCCGGGCTTGAGGCTTCTTTTTTTTTTTTTTTAAGCTGAGCCATCCTGCCACCTGTTGGCAGCTCAGCAGCAACTCAGCTTGGGCCGGGCATTGAACCGCTGTTGCTCAGAGCTCAAACTCTTGAGTGAGCTCTTAACTAACTGAGCCACTAGGCCGGCCCTCGGAGGCTTCTTAGCAAGAGGTATGGGGCATGCCGAAGTCAGATACTTCTTGTTTGGTGTTTGTTAACCTTTGAGAGATTTTAGGAAGTTCCTTAACATGAGCCAAGACAGGCTGTTTGTATGGAAATGCCACTGGAACCTGCGTGGGTGGGTCCGAAAGTTAGGTGGGGTGCGGTCTCAGGAAATCACCAGGGCAGGGTGAACAGTATTAGCTAGGTTTATGGCGAGTCAGACATGGCTTCAGTCTGTGTCTGCATGCTGGGAATTGGGGAAGGTTCAACAAAGGAACAATAGTTATTAACAGCACTTCTGTCTGGGAAAAAGCTGACCCTCCAGCCCTTGTCCTAAGCCAGACAATTTAGTTCTCCCCGTATGTCCCTGGTGCCTTTCAAGCGGCTGCCCCAGTGCTTGAGCTCAGAGTGAGTGAGTCCTTCAGTGAGTAAGTTCATGTGTGGGCCCTTTAAAAGGAGCTCCTGGGAATGCAGCCGCCTTCCATCTCACTCAGCCACAATCTCCACTGATTTTCACAGCCAGAAGTTATGGGGTTTTCTCTTCCTGGCACTTGAACCCTGGGCTGGGGAGCCTTGGTTGGGTCTGGGACCTGTCGCTCCTCAGGGAGGACCTCTGCAGCTGAGACAACCTTCCTGATTTTTTAACCATCACACGTGGGTATGACAACTACTCTCTTCCTTGTTTCTGCCCCTCTTACCAGTCTAGACGTGGCTTCTGCATGTCCTTAGTTGTAGGACTTCTATTCAGCTAGACTTCAGGCGATTTTCAGTGATGGTTGTTCTGCAGTTTAGTTGTAATTTTGATGTGGTCATGAGAGGAGGCAAGCACAGCATTTACCTA